ACAAGTACTCGGGCAAGGAGGGCGACAAGTACAAGCTGAGCAAGGCGGAGCTGAAGGAGCTGCTGAACAAGGAGCTGCCCATCTTCGGGAGCGTGAGTGGCCGCGGGGACACCCCGGGACACCCCCGGGACATCCCCAGGACACCCCCAGGACACCCCCGGGACCCCCCCAGGACACCCCCGGCCCGGGGGGGTCTCTGAAATTCCCCGAGTGGAACCCGATGGATTTATCCCACGGGGAAGGGGAGGGACGAGGGCCCGAGGGGCTCAGCTGGGGGAGGCGCAGCCCCCAATTAAATTCTTTTTTTTTAATTTTTAAACCCACAGAAATATTTTGTTCGGCAAAGGAAATCACCCGATTTCCATTTAATTTTTTTAATCATATTTTTTTTTTTAACCCCCACTTCCCTTTCTTTGGCTTGTGGTTTCAACCGGGAGGCGATTCTAAAATTTTTTTAAAATATTTTTAGCCAAATTTTCCCACATCCGGGAGGATCTTTGGGCACTTTCGGGCACTGCCGAGGACTCCTCCTCCCAGAGGCGAAGGGAAAACCCTCCCTGGGGCTGGGCAGGGGGGTGGGAAGGGGCAGCCCCTCACCCCAAACCCTCTCCCCTGGCAGAAACAAATGGACGAGGCCGAGTTCAAGCGGCTGGTGAACGACCTGGACCACAACAAGGACAGCGAGGTGGATTTCAAGGAGTACGTTTGTTTCCTGGCCTGCATCACCATGGGCTTCAACGAGTTCTTCAAGGACGACCCCAGCAAGCAGCACCGCAGGAAGTGAAGCTGCGGGCCCGAGCTCTCAATAAAAGCTTTTCCCCTGTCCCGCCTGAGTTCTGGGGTCTCTTCTCAGTCTGAGTTTGGGGGTTCTGTTCAGGTTCTGCCCAATCCCAGTCTGAGTTTGGGGGGTTCTGTTCAGGTTCTGCCCAATCCCAGTCTGAGTCTGGGGGTTCTGTTCAATTTTTGCCCAATTCCGGTTGAGTTCCAGGGTTCTGTTCAGGTTCTCCCCGGTCCCAGCTGGGTTCTGGGGGTTCTGCTCAGGTTCTCCCCAATCTCAGCTGGGTTCTGGGGGTTCTGCTCAGGTTCTCCCCGGTCCCAGCTGAGTTCTGGGGGTTCTGTTCAGGTTCTCCCCGGTCCCAGCTGGGTTCCAGGCAGCGGGCACAGGGTGACTCAGCCCTTCCTCCATCTCCGTGGGTTTTTCCACTGCTCGGCTCAGCCCCGGGAGGCGTTTTTGTCGCTTTTTTTGGAGAAGTTTGAGCAAAAACAGCTCTTGGACCTTCCTCCCCCAGCCCGAATGTTCTGGGGAGGGTTCGGGGCGCTTCAGGCCAGCACAGAGAGGATTCGGGTGGCCACGAGGCGCCCTGGGTGACACCTCAGGGCTGGGGGGACACGAAGGCACAGCGTGTCCCCGGTGCCCGCATCCGGGGAACCCTCAAAGCTGCTCTCCGGCTTTCCAGAGAAACAATCGTGTAAAACCCCCCCAAAAGCGGGGCAGAGCTGCCAGACCCCGTCCCCAAATCCTCCAGCTCTTTCCTGAGCCCTTCCAGGTCCTTCCAGGAGCTCCAAACTTTCCCCAGCCCCTTCATAAAGAGCCCCCGGAGCTTCTGCCCTTCCCAGAAACTCCCACAAATTCCCACTCGCTAACGGGGTGAGGAGCTTCAAGCTCGGGCGCTTCTCCTGCCAAAACGTACAGGCCCCCCCCGAGCTGGGGAGGCACCGAGGGGGGCTTGGGGAGCTCCCAAATCCCCCCGAGGGTGGGAGATTTGTCCCCGTTTTTGTCGCTCCGGCCCCTGCGGCGGCTGAGGGACACTCGGGGCTGGAAGAAGCCGGTTCCCGGAGCTCCCCGCAGCTCCCGCACTCGTGCCCGGGCCACGCCGCCACCGAAACAGCTCCGTTACACAACGGGGAGCGGCGACGGGAAACAGAAATCGCTGCCAGGCGACTGGAAAACAGAAAAAAAACCTCCTCGTCTCGACACCACCCCCGCGGCCGAGCCCCGCTGGCTCCCGGACATCCCCGGGGATGCTGCCGGGAGCGGCGCGGGTGGCACCTGGCAGCGCCACCTGCCCCAGGGGTTCTCCCGGCCCAGGTGGTCCCTGGCCAGCCCCACGGGCACGTTTTGCTCCTCCTCAGCCAGCCCAGCCCCTCGTGGCAGCTCCCGGGGTTTCCTTTCTCCTCCTTTTCTCCTTTCCCAGCCGTGTCCGGGCGGGCTGGGGAGCGGCGGTGCCGCCCCGGCCGGGTGTGTCCAGGCCGGGCTATAAATGCCAGGGCCTGGCTCCGGCTCCCCTTCCTCCCTCCCGTCCTCCCGTGCCCCGTCCGAGCTCTCGGTGAGTCCCTTCGCCCCCTCTCTCCCCTCTCCAGGTGTTCTCCAGATGTTGCCGCATCCCCCGGCAGGAGCGGGAGGTTCCCGCCGGGAATTCGGATTTCACCTGCCTGGGCTGGAAAAGCTCCTGAGCTCCTTCCCTGCCCGAGGGGGCTGCGGCCTCCCCGCTTTTCCCTCTGTCCGGGAGTGTCCCAGCCCGGCCAGAGCGGGAGGGGGAACCGGGGAGAGAACCGGGGAGAGACCGGGGAGAGACCGGGGAGAGACCGGGGAGAGACCGGGGAGGAACCGGGGAGAGACCGGGGAGGGAACCGGGGAGAGACCGGGGAGGGAACCGGGGAGAGACCGGGGAGGGACCGGGGAGAGACCGGGGAGGAACCGGGGAGGGAACCGAGAGGGAACCGGGGGAGAACCACGGCGCATCCCGGGATGTGCTGGGGGCTGGGAGGGGCCCGAGGATTCCAAACTCCGGTGTCCCGTCCCTGTGTCCCCAGGCTTGCCGCTGTCGCCATGGAGTGTCCCCTGGAGCAGGCGCTGGCCGTGATGGTCGCCACCTTCCACAAGTACTCGGGCAAGGAGGGCGACAAGTACAAGCTGAGCAAGGCGGAGCTGAAGGAGCTGCTCCTGAAGGAGCTGCCGAGCTTCAGCGTAAGCGCCGCATCCCCCGGGAATCCCGGGAATTCCGGGACGCGCAAACCACGAGTTTAACGC